TAGTTGCCAGCACACGTCTATAGGTATATGTGCTCAATAAACAAAAAAAGGCCCAAAGGGGCAAAAGAAGATTAGATGCCACTGTGGGCCACTTAGTTCCTGGCTGATTGAAACAGAAAAAGAAGTCAGAAGTTCCCACTCTGCCACCGCACCCCTCCATCAGGCACTACTCAGTTGTGTATAAAGAGGCTCAGCTACATGTCTGGGCAACCCATCTGTTGTGTGTGCGCACCTGACTGTAGAGATCACCACAAGGGAAGGAGCAAGGGGGGGTGGGGGGAAGGAGAAAAAGGGAAGAAATTTTTGGAGTAAGATTGGGGGGGAGCACAATGGACCACCCTAGAGGACCAACAGGTGCTCTGGTGGAGAGTGTGGTGTGGTAACAACACCTGAAGGGGAGAACCTGTACCTCTAAAATACAAACAATGTTGTAAAGCAACACTACCCCATAAATAAATGTGTGTGTGCCTCCCCTACTCTTCTAGCGGAAGGCAGGAGCTGCGCAGAGACCAACGTTTTATTTCACAAGAACTAAAAGGAGAACAGCACCTGTGAGTGTTCTCAGTCTCTGGGTCTTGCACTTTCTTTTGTTGGAATCCCAAATGCCAGTGTTATGGTTTGTCCAAAGAGAAGTGGCAGCCCCGACTTACAGGACCTGAACTTGAGTGCATGAAGGTTGTGAGGGCTGTGTGTGGTCTCATGAAGAAACGTCGGTAACAAATCCTGCTTCTCTGAGAAAATGCAAACTCCTCAGAAAGAGTTGGTGACGTGTCTCCCTGCAGCTGCCCTAGAGCCCCTCCCAGCACAGTGATTCTCATTCTCAAGCACAGCCTCTGGCAGACTGTATCTCAGTACCTGGCCCACTGCGGACCACCAGAGACTTGGGTGCCCAGGAAGCCACAGCTTCAGTATCCCAGGGAATCCCAAAAAGCAAACAGGCTTGGCATCAAACGGCTTCCTACTCACAACCTGTTCAGAAAAGGTGTACAGCCCCACCTACAGGTGATATTAGGTGTTGCAGCAACTCAATGTACAGGAATTACCAGAAGTATTTGGAGGGATGTAACCATGGAAACCTAAAACAGCTACTTTTCCATAATCATTGCTTCCCCTTATACTCTTTAGAATGCCCGTTGAAATCTTTTATGGACATCTTCTGCAGATTCCATAACTCTCTATACATATTCAGTTATCAAAATCCAAGCTAAAAGTTCAGGCTTAAACATTTAACTTCAACGCTATTTAAATCTCATCTCTCTGGGCCTCCCCGGTGGCGCAGCGGTTGAGTGCTGGGCTGCGAAGCTGCCCGCAGCCTCTGCAGCGCCAGTTCGATCCCCGGCCACAGGGCGAGGGTCCCACATGGCGTGCAGACCTCTCCTGCCGCCCACTGCTCCCCTCAGCAGTGTACTTCATCACTCTGCCTGTTCTACTCATCACTCTCTGGCTCTGGTGAATTCTCTCACCCTCCCACGCCTCTGACTGTACCCAGTGCTTGTATAAATAAATAAATAAATCTTTAAAAATAAATAAATAAATAAATAAATAAATCTCATCTCTCTAGAGCCGCATCACCACCGCCCAGCTCAGGATGGATGGGTGGCATAAGGGGTTAATATAGAAGTCTGGGGCTTTATCAACTATTTCCTCGGACCCCTGAAAGTGTTTTTGCCAAGAACTTTCCAATATTCAATATCACTATAACCATAATTCATATTTGTATATTTTTTGGAGTTTACAAAAACCTTTTCACATTAATTATCAAATTTACTCAATATTACAACTCTATGAGGTGGGAGTCAGTTTAACGTGGAGATAAGGAAACCGAACTTCAGAGCATTTATTCAAGATACAAGTAGAAAAGAGCCAATTCTGCCACCTGCTCTGGAACTTAATCCATTATTGCTATATAGCTGCCTCGTGGAAACCAAAGAATAAAGGGAAGTTAGAGGCAACTTATGAGTGGGGAAAGGGTTACTAAAGCACACCTGAGCTGCAGTTCATGGACGCATTCCACAAGAATCGGTTGGGTGTCTTCTAGATTCCATGTCATTATTGTTCGGTATTGGGATAAAATAGCAAATAAGACAGATATGATCTCTGCCTCCCATGAACTCACTTCACAGTGGAGGAAAAAAAGGGGGTAGGCAGATAGGCAGAGGGAGGGAGGAAGGGAGAGAGAGAAGGAGGGGAAGGAAGGAAGGGGCTTTTAGTAGAATTCAAGGCACTCTGTAGAGAGCAATACGTAATCCGTGGGAACCTTGTTGATGCCTGAGCAGAGCTCCTTCTAGTAGGGCTCAGGGATAGGGCTGGCTGGGCCATCACAAGAAGGCCTGACACCAGATGAGTCTGATGAGTCATGAAGGGGCCACAGGCACCACATTTGCCCATCTGAGGCATTGGGCTTTATCTAAAGAGTTAGTGGGACAAGGGAAGGGATTTTTAGGAAGGCAGTGATGCCTGAGAACCGTTTTTACAAAGCTCCAGCACATACTGTTTGACTCCAGCCTGATAGGTTTAAATAAGACAAAGGTATGACATATAGGCACCTCTCATAAGACAGGTGCTCAATCAATGGTCTTTCCTTTATCATGGTGCTAGTTACCACCTACATTGCTAGCCTACACGTCTCTGTTATCATGAATCATGAAGAAGACCACATTCTGTGGTTTCTATTTAAGGAGTCATCACCTGAATCCAAAGTGCCTCTGAACACATTTACACCACCAGGTGAAACTTGGAAGGCCAAAGGATCCACTATGATCCTTTTCCTTGCCTAAAGAGTGTTTTTAATAATTGGGGGAGATGGAGTTATGATCCAAATCTCCAGATTCCACATGACATCCATCTGGAGTTGAGCAGGAGTATTGTCCTTAGGTGTGGCTTCGCCCTTAGATGGAACATGAAGTCTCCAGTTCCCCAAAACCCCCACCACTGCCTTGCACTTTCTACGCCTTACCTGCTCCTCTCAATTGCTTCTTGGCCTGGCCCTGAAAGTGATCACAGGCCCTGAACTGGGTGACTTCATGTTGCTTACTGGACTGGGGACCGTCCACTTGTTGCTTGTACCCTTTGGAAGGTCACGGTCCATTTTATAACCTGGTGGTAGCCCTGAAAATGTGCCCAAACACAAAAGCTTGCACATGGTTTTAAAGGGTTCCATAAGGGCCTCCCCGGTGGCGCAGCGGTTGAGCGCTGGGTTGCGAACCTGCCCGCAGCCTCTGCGGCGCCGGTTCGATCCCCGGCTGCTCCCCGGAGGAGGGTCCCACATGGCGCGCAGACCTCTCCTGCCGCCCGCTGCTCCCCTCAGCAGTGTACTCCGGTCCTTCCGCCTGCTCTGCTCCCCGCTCTGGCTCTGGTGAACTCTCTCACCCTCCCGTGCTTCTGGCTGTACCCAGTGCATGTGTAAACAAAACAAACAAACAAATAAACAAATAAACATGCCTCTATAAAAAAAATTTAAAAAAAATAAAAAAAAATAAATAAATAAATAAAGGGTTCCATAAACCCCAGTGTAGGGTAGATGGACGCAGTCAGGTTTTTTCTGCCCTCCTGCCATTAGCATCAATGATTGACACCTGTGGTCCTACACGCGTGCCTGGAGCACCTGGAGTGTGGTGTGGGCGTGCATAAGTGGGCACCCCTGAGCAGGGAGGCTGAGATATAAGGGCAGCAGCATCAGCAGAGGATGGGAGGAGGCAGAGAATCAAGTGGAGAGCTGCAGCGAGACCATTAGAGAATGCCAGAGAGGCTAGAAAGAGTGAAGGTCCACCAGGGGCTAGGAGGCCCGCCAGCCTCCTGGCCCCCAGCCCCCTGCCTGCCCTGCACCTGGTTGCTTCACTACAAATGCTGTAGAAAGATCATTAAAAGCCTGAAAAAGCCACTGCGGACTCCAGGACTCCTCTTTTACCCATATGGCCAGATCATAGAAAACCTGCTCCGTGCCTTGTTGGCTCTGCACCCAGGTAAAGGCCTGTGATAGTTACCACGTAGGAGGGTTTGGTTGCAAGTAACTGCAAGGACAAAATAAACCTGGATGCCCAGTTAGTCTTCTTATATGGACTAAACTGTGTCCCTTCCACAAATGCATATGTTAAAACCCTACCCCCAGGCTGCATTTAGGCAGGAACCTCACACTCAGGTTCACGGTGGCTTCCCTGCAATTGTAGCCCATGGCAGCTCTGGGGCTCCCTGTCTGCCTTCCTTCCATGACCCCATCTGGCCTAAAATAATGTTTAGGAGATGTGTGTGCATCTGCAGTGTGTATGCACCGAATTGAGATTGTTTCATTGAATTAATCCTTTAGAAAAAAATTAAAACCCTAGAGATTAAGTAACATTTTAATTACCCCAGGGGCATATGAGATTTAAAGGCCTTTTTTTTTTTTTTAAGAATTCTTTTAGAGCCTCCCCTGATGGCGCAGGCCGTTGAGCGCCGCACAGTGAAGATGTTCGCAGCCTCTGCAGCGCCAGTTCAATCCCAGCCGGCCGGCGAGGGTCCCACATGGCACAGCAGCCCTCTCCTGTCTCGTCCGCTGCTCCCCTCAGCAGTGCATTCAGTAGATCTGCCTGTTCTGTTCCCTGCTCTGACTCTGGTGAATCTGCTCACCCTCCTGCACATCTGGCCTGTACCCCAGTTCTTGTAAAATAAATAAATAAATCTTAAAAAAAAAAGAATTCTTTTAAGGTGAGGCGAAGTCCTCAGTGTTATTTTATCAATATTTTGTCATGCAAACACATTTTCCTATACTACAATGAGTTTACTTAGAGCAGGTTATAAACACACACACGGAGGCACATGTGGCTAAACAGGTCCCACTTACCTGGTAGCCTGTGTTGTTTGTTTTCAAACCTCATTTATCATCTAAGAGGAAAGAAAAATTTAGGAGAGGAAATTTTCCTCTGCCAACCATAGTTTTCTAACGCATGAGTGTTCAAGAAACTAAAAAACATTGGGGGGAAGACGATGGAGCGAGCAGAAAGGATGGTTTCAGAAGTACCTACCCGGCTCAGTGGGCATGGGTGGCTGCCTTCCTTCCGTCTCCTGCCACCTGGCAAGGTTTCCCTGTGATTAATGAGAGACCTTCCAACAACATGGCCGGAAGGAAAACAGCTCCAATTACCAATAGAGCTAAACCATAATTACTATGCAAATGACTTCAGTAATGTAATAGAATGGAATATCTGGTCATTACAGGGCGGACAATTCACAATGCTAATTGGGGTTAGCCTGTTTTCAGAAAGTAAATAATAATAACAGTAAAATATATCCAGAGCATTATTAGATTTGATTTTGCTTATCATGCAGGGCTGTGGTCTACTCCTGGCATTATGTTTACATTAAAAAGACACTTGAGCAGTCTCTATCCTAAGTGCGTGGACTTTGGATTCAAAACGCTGGGAACAAAATGACACTAAGAGGAGCTTTAGGATTTGAGAGAAATCAACAGTGGTCGGTCTGCAGGCCAGAAGACACACAGGAAAGAGATCGTTTTTAATGCCCAGAGCAGCCCGGATGCGCTTGGCATAGGAGGCGTTCATAGGCCAAAGAGGAAGAACTCCTGGTAAGTCAGCCTCCTCCATCCTCTCGTCTCTCCCGGGCTCGCTTCCCTTCCCCAGGTGCAAGCCCGACATGACCGCCTCCTCGTGCCACTAGAAGAGTTTTCAAATCAGTTTCCTTCTCACTCCTTCCTCTTCCCCACTCTGTGCCAGAGCTAAGCTTGAGGCCATTTGCTCCCTCAAAGCCCACGCTTTCCACCTCCAGGTGAAAGACACAAGAGCCCCCCCCATCCAAGCCTCCTCTCCCTGCTCAGTAGCGCCAGGGGAAGCCTCTCCCCCCAGTGTGGACACTCAGGCTCCCAAGACTCACACAACATAAAGCCCATGACTCCTCACAAGAGCAAGAATTCAAAGACACATCTGCACCCGCGTGTTTATCACAGCTCTGTTCACATAGGCAAGCTCTGGAGGCAGCCTGAGTGCCCCAGATCAGGGGAGTGACCAAGATGTGGTCCATGTACACATACTCCAGTGATTAAACAAAATAAAAAAATGAAATCTTGCCACTTGCAGCAACAATGATGGAGCTGGAGGGGTGATGCTAGTGACAAAAGTCAGGAGAAAGACAAATACTGATCATGTCACTCATGTGTTGAACAGGGTGGGAACCAACTGCGGAGGGGCCAGAGGTTTATAAAGGACTGTGGCTGCTGTTGTGATGGGGCTGAGGACCTATTCCCCTAAATCTTATAAGTGTTGTAAACCAATATTGCCTCAATAAGAAGAAAAAAGCAAAGGAACAGACAAAATTAAACCAAAAAACCCTGGAAATCTGACTGCGGAACGAAGCCTCCAGAGGGGTAGAGGGTGGGGCTCGAGGGGAGGGGCCCTCTGGTGGGAGACTCTGGGAGCCTTGTGGGTGGGGTGTGGTGAGAGCATCTGAAGAGGTGGGACCCTGCACCCCTAACACACACACACATATACAGTTTTGTAAAGTAACTTGACTTTAATAAAAGATAATACAATTTAAAAATAATCACAATAATAAGCTTTTAAAAATAAATCAAAGTAGTTATGTAACAAACATTTTTTAAAGCACTCATGCCTGGGTCCACTCCATCCCCCCAAAAGACGAAGCCTATCACAGAGCAGCAGCACCCCGAATTGGCAACAGCCTGCTCCTCAGAGCCCCCAGCAGATAAGATGCCTGTGGGGGCTCCTCCAACCCTATTTTTAAGTCTGATTCTCCAGCTACCTCCCCCCCTTCCCGGAGCCTCACACACCCTCCAACAAATTCCTTTTCTTCGTGATCTTAGCCAGAGTTTCTTTCTGTGGCTTTCCAAACAGGAACCCTAACTCACACATTTCTAAGAAATTTAAGCCAGATCTACATGGCATCCAGCGAAATGGGGGTGGAAGAAAGTCAACTGGGGCTCTTTCTAAAGATTGCCAGTGGTCAGTTTGCATTTGAAAATTTCCTGTGAGAGATGACAGTAGCAGGGAGTGGTTAAGATCCAGCTCCAGAGTCTGGACCATGTGGGTTAGGACTCACTTCCTCCAGGTCACAGCTGCCTGACCTGGGGTGCAAGTGAAATGGGAAGGGCACTAATCCCCGCCCCCAGGACTGCCAGGAGGCGGGATGAGTTACAGCAGTGGGATGCTTCCAGCTGAGCCCGACACCAGCAAGCATTGTAAACACATAAAATGTGATTATTAAGACCTGAAAAACAGCCTGTGTGAGTAGGCAAATGAGATTGAAAAAAAATAATGATCCGATATACTCACTTGACGTCTGTGTACAAGGAAGTGCACAGCATCCAAAGCAGATCCCCTGGGGCTACAAACAGAGCCGGCACAAGCCATTATTCTTGTGTCAGGGTTTGTTTTGTATTTTTTTTTTAATGTCTCTTTAGAACTCTAGAGGCTGCCATGCATAGGTTGATTGCCCCATGCTCCAGTTACAAAGGGATTTGTCTGCTAAAGACCAAAACAATGCAACTCTCAGAGCACGGAGAACCATGGATGGCCATTCCTGGCTCCAGACAACCGAGTAGGGAAGAGATTCAGCTGCAGGGTGAGGAACTGATTCGATGCTCGCCTCACAGGTCCGTGGGTCCATGGGAGCCAACTCCTGGCTAGTCTGACAGCCATGTCTGTAATCCAGGCCCCTAAGTCCCCTCGGGTCCCTGACACCATCCCAGGGAGCTTTCAAGAAAGCCCCGGTCCTGGGAGTAGGTCCTGCCTCTCCAGCCTGTCTCATTTCTAGAAGGTTTTGATCCACATCTGCTGCTGCTGCTGCCTCTGGATCCTTCCCCAAGGCTGAGGTGGGCGCCCGCCCTGTCCAGGGGACTTTGCAAGCCTGCCAAAGCCAAATCCAATGCACATTAGCTTGAAGCCAGTCCCGGGAGGTAGACCCACAGAGGATTTGGGAGCCACCAGTGTCTCACCAGGCTTAACCCTGACACAGTTCTGGATTTAAAGACTGAGGTACTTGAGCTGCTAGCTGCCAACAGGAGCAGAGATTCAAAGAATCCACGGGGCTCCAGACCAATCCATGAGTTCAGCAGACACTGCTTTGTGACTGAGGACTCACACCTAGACATCTTGGTCGAGGGATGGCCATGGGGGGATGCAGTGAAGGCACAGGCATGCCTCATCGCATGTCTGAATCAGAGACAGAGGTGCCTAAAGGGAAGCTGGCCTGCCCCATTCATGTCCTGATCCCAGAGGTGGTCCCGGCATGAACACACAAGTGGTGGCCCCTCCTGCAGCAGGAACTCATCCTTAGCTGGTGGGCTGCGTGCTCACCAGGGAGGCAGCCCTGGGAAGGTGAGCCCACCTGGATGAAAGCTCCTTTGTTTCCCTATAGTCTCAGAGACAGGTTGTCCCCGACCTCAGCTGGGTGCCAGATACATCTCAGAATGAGAAGAGGGTTGGGGTGAGAGCCCTCTCTCTTACAGTAAGCCCTGCAATGTAAACAGAGTGGTGCAGGAATGGGCTTTATGGGGGCTCTCAGATGGGAAGCAAGGGTGCGAGGAGAGAGAAGCAAGCAGCGCAGGCAACGCAGCCCCTGACACTGGGGAGACCTGAAGGGAGGAGGCTCTGTTTCAGGAGCCTCCAGATCAGCGATCCCCAACCCCCAAGACTCTTACTAGGCTGCACTCACTGGGCCAAGCCCATCCACAGGGGTTCAATGATAACAGGGCAGTGTGGGTCTCCCCCCACAGTCTGGGCACCCACCGACCATCCAACAGCAGCCTAGCAACAGGTTGCCAAGGAGCCCACGTTCTGAGTTCTAAGTATTTCTATCACAGGATTTCTTTACTTTCCTTTTTACAATAATATTTGGAAATCTGACCTGCCTCTCCCTACCCTCCTTCTACTTCAAAGTTCATGGAAGGGAAACAATATTCTTATTCCCCCTCCATCTGCGTCAGCACTGGGAACCTTGAAGAACTGAGCCTTAAAGAACAGGCTGGTTCTTTAAGGAGAGCATAGGGTAGGCCTTTGGGGGTAAGAGAAGGGCCTGGCACGTGGGAGAAGAGTTATGTTTGTTGAGTGAATGGCATTTTTTTCCTTGGTCATAGTAAAATGATGGTCTAAGATAGATTCAGGATTAATAAGAATTTCTAAATAGTTTCCTCAAAAAAGGAGGCAGTGGAGGAGAAAAAGAAGACAATACAGTCTTAGGAATCATGTCTTCAGCAAAGTTGCTAAATTTAAGTTGCTAATAATCAGCAGCTTTTATTTCCCAACGGGTTATGCTTTCTTTTTCCTTAACTACTAAATCTTGTTCACAGGTATGCAATGCTGAATGACACGTATGTTCTCTTATATGTTGAAAGTATATATGCTGAAACAGGTGAGTCTATACTTTTATTTTCCTATTGTTTTATTTTTCAGGGGATACAGGCATTTTAAAAAGAAATGAGGCTTGTATCTTTCTCAAATGCTGGAACAGTGTGCAAACGTTAGTGAACAGGTCTGTCCGATCAGCTGAATGAGTGTGTGCATGTGTGCATGTCTGCTTTTGAGCATTGATTTGATTTTTCTGCAACTTTAAGGGGATTTTTCACATGTTCTCGGTCCTCAAGTCATTTTTGGTATTCTGCATTTTATTTACAAATTTAATGAACTATTTCTAAATGTTTTGGCATAAAATTGTTAACAATATCTTCTATAAACATGTATAACCTTACCTATATTGGTAGCTGTGATTCCTTTTTTATTATTAATAATAATCATTTTTCTTTAATACTAATAACATCATTCACCACTACTGAATATTTATCAATTTTGTTAGTCTTTTCCCAAAACTATTCTAATGTTTGCTGATTGTCCATTAATTTTTTGTTTACAGTTTTATTAATTTCTGTTCTAATATTTATTACTGACTTCTCTTTGGTCTAACTCTGGTTTTTAACTTCCTGCATTAGATAGCTTTATTTTGTAATTGTGTATCTTCTTTTGTCTGATAAATGTATTAATTCCATAAATTTAAACTATTGCAATCACGATATCCCATTATCCTTTATTTGTAGTGTCGTATTGCTATTAAATTCTAAATAAATAGTAATGGTATTATAATTTCTTCTTGGGATACACATTAGGGTTTACTATGATTTTTAAAAAAAATTTAAGACAAAGGGGGTTGTTTGTTTTTATTACTTGCTGGCTCCACTGCATTTCAGTAGGACCGCGTGGCCTGTAGTTTGTTTTCTGGTAGCTGCTGAGGCATTGTCATATTGTTCAAACTCTGAAAAAATAAGCCATGCTTTCTCACCTTTAATGAGAATATGCCCATTTATTCTTGAAATTCTTTCAATGCTTGTTTCAATATTTTGAAAACAATGCTGTGAGAGGCAGATACATTCAGAACTAAAATCTAGTTTCCTGGTGAATTGTTACTTTATTCTGCCTAGTGCCTTCTTTATGGCTAGTGTTGATTCTACTGCTACAAATAAAGCTAAAGTGAATTATTAACATATTAAGCTTAGTATGAATAATTACCAGTAATAAGTAGGCTCATCTTAATATTGCAATAACAGGTTTGGGTTTTTTTGCTTTGTTTTGTTTTTCAGCTTGCATAGCAAAGGCTGTCAGGGGTCAAGGAGGATGGTTTGGACCCCACCTCATGCAAGCAGGCTGGGAGCCCAGGAGCTTCCTCTCCTCTGAGCTCAGGCCGGCAGCTGGGGTGAGGGGAGCAGATGTTACCCTATCATGTCAGTCACGTCTCCCCTTGCCCTGCTCGGTCTGGACAGAGACGGGATGAGCCTGGGTGGATGACTTTCCTGGTGATGGGTCTTCCTTGGTCCTAGACCCCTTCAGGTGCTCCAGAGCTGAGGGGCCCTCTTGGCCCCTGCATCTCCATCCCTCTCCACCTCAGCCTTCTCGAGCTCTCCCGCCCACACGAGGAGCCCGTGCTGGAATCTGGGATGCTGATGGCCATCCAGAGACTTCAGCCTCCACTCCAGCCCGCCCTGAAGAAGCTCCGAGGCCTGGGGACGCGCTGCCGCCTGTGCGCACACGCTCCTGTGGTGAGGGGCGCACGGATGGGGGGCTGAGGTCATTTTCACCTGAGGGAAATGCAACGAATCCACGAATCGTACTGCAGCTGTGACCTGCTTGTCATAGGCTGGGAATTCTGCTAAAAATACTGAAACAAACAAATCCCCAGAAGGGAATGGGGGGGCAGAGGGATGTGAGAAAATACTTGCCGGTAGAAGGAACACTTTCCTTAAATGCACCCTCAAACGAGTGATGAGTTTTTCCCCCAGAAAATTGTTAAAACCTGCTACATCTCTAAAAAATAAAAAAACATAATTTTCACAACAAAGAAAACTGTCGGGATCAAACTAAATATGCTTTTGGATTTTATTTATTCCTCCAAAAAGCTAACAAAGTAAATTTTTAGCTTTAAAACGGACTGAAAACATACACACCATCTAGACCTCTTACTTTCTGGGAAATCTCACCGCTGCCAGCGCTTTCCCTCTAAAGCGTATCCAGCTGGAGGGACTCATAACTCGCAGCACCTGAAGCGGCAGCAGCCTCCTGGTGCACTAGGGGGCAGCAGTGAATAGCAAATCACAAGACAAGGTCATAGAAAAATAGTGGAAAGCTACTTTGATAACAAATGTCAGTCCCAAAAGATTCCAGAATAGGGAACTGTAGAGTCCTCAGTGGCTTTTTGCAGGTCTTTTTATTGGAGTTTACCCGGTACACAGCAGGCAGGGGTGCTGGGGGGCTGGGAGACTGGCAGGCCTCCAAGCCCCCAGCAGGTCTTCACTCTGGGCTCTCCGGTCTTCTCTCAGCTTCTGCTTCTCTTGCTTCTCTCTCGGCTTCTCTTTTGGCTCCTGCTGCTGCTGGCGTCCCCGTGACGCCACCCTTAAAAGCCCAGTCTTAGCCCAGGTGAATCCCATCTACCTAGGCCCACACCCTACTCCAGGTGCCCGCCGTCAGGCATGCATTCAGGACCCCAAGGATCCATCATCCATCCTGATGGCGGGAGGGCAGAAAAGCCTGACATTTTTCCTTACCCAATAGGAACTCTTGTGATTTTCCAGCTTATCTTGAAAGTACAGGGACTCTATTAAGAGCATTATTCCCCCTTCCCTTCACAGACACACACACACACACACACACACACACACGTTCTATTTTTAAGTCAAAAGCGTTTGGATGAAAGTACGGGGATAGCAGGATTAGAGACTTTGAGAATCTTTTCTTCAACATTTAACAAAAGGAAATGAAAAATCACCTCCTAGCAAAGAGAGCTTCCAATAAACACCAACAATCAATTAAATGGAGCTTTTCCCAAAGTCAGATCATTGAATTTTACATGAGAATCAATGATCCAGAATTGAAAATCTAAAATTTAGCTCTAAGGAAAGTGACCAAAGCAACTGAGATATTTTTTTAAGGTCATAAGTAACATTTAAATCGAACATTCTACATATTTAAATCAAGAACATGAACAGGTTTTGCTTTTCAGGGAGAGAGAGAGACAGAGAGACAAAGAGAAATTTTTTCAATTGCCCAATTTCAAATTCAAGTTGTTTCATACAAAACTCCAGATTCCTGGCTTCTCTGGAGCACACAGCCCTGCAGACATTAGCCCAGATTTTGGAATCAAGTGTTGGCTACTCCCTTTAACAAAGCAAGTTTTTCTGTTTGCTCTGATACTGTGTAATCAATGTCCTTTATTAGTTCTCTATTACTGTGTAACAAATTATCACAAACCTAACAATCTTAAATTAGCCACCTTTCTGTTGGTGGTAAGTCCAGGCTCCCCCTGCCTGCATCATCATCTCAAGTCCTTACAAAAGTAACACCGTATCAGCCAGGCTGCATTCCACTGGAACTGGGGATCTTCTTCACAGATATGCAGAATTCAATTCTCTGTAGCTATGCACCTGAGCTCCTATTTCCTTTCTAGCTGAGTGAAGAATCTCTCAGTTCCTATTAGCCGCATGCCTCACCTCACGGTCCTCCTCCATCTTCCAAGACAATAATGGAGGACTTTTTTTTTAATTTTTGCATAGAACTGGGGTGCAGGCCAGAGATTGTGGGGGTGAGAGGGAGCAGAACAGTCGGATCTACTGAAATACACTGCTAAAAGGAGCAGCGGGTGAGACGGGAGAGGTCTCCTGTGGGTCAGCTCCCTGGCCATGGATCAAACTCAGGCTATAGCAGTGATAGTGCTGAGATTTAACCTCTAGAGCACCAGGGAGGCCCAACAATGGAGAACTTATCATGCACCAGATCCCAATCATACATTAGTTCTCTCTCCAGGAGGAGCTCAGTCTCTTGAAGGACTCACCTGATTAGGGCAGGCCCACCCAAGTTAACCTCCCTTGATTAAAGTCTAGTGTGCTGTATGACACAACCTAGCTACAGGAGGACCATGACCACAGTTTCTATCCCAAGAACTATACAGGCTGATTATACCACGAGGAGAAAATCCTAGAATCCTAACCTATCACATTTGAGGAAGAGTCAGGTAGTCACTTATCATCAAACCTGAAGCCTATTTTTTCAGAATTGAGTTGAAAAAAGATTGACTATTTCTACACACATATTTCTATCCAGAAATGGAGTTTAAGAAAAAATGTATAATTTGAAGCAAAAAAAAAAAAAAAAAAACAGAAAAATATTCCTACATGTTTCCAATGAAAATAAAATGGACTTTTTTTTTAAAGATTTATTTATTTATTTATACAAGAACCGGGGTACAGGCCAGAATCGCAGGAGGGTGAGAGGATTCACCAGAGACAGAGTGGGGAACAGAACAGGCAGACTGACGAAATACACTGCTGAGGGGAGCAGCAGGCGAGAAGGGAGAGGTCTGCTGCGTCATGGGGCCCTCTCCAGCTGGCCAGCCAGGATCGAACCGGCACTGCAGAGGCTGCGGACAGCTTCACAGCGCGGCACTCAACCCCCCCTGCGCCACCAGGGGAGGCCCTGGACTTTTTCTAGACTCGGCCCTGTGACTCATTTCTGTTACCCATCTGGCCCTTTGGGGAATTTGAGCTTATGCCCTTGCTTTAAACCAGACTGTGGGGCAAACACTGGCCCTTGGCTTTTCCTGTTGCAATGCAAGTGCCTGACTTAAACTCTGATGCCCAGGCATCCTCTTCAAAGAGGGCTAACAGAATAAACTCATTCCCAACCAAGCCCATACAGGCCAGGCTGCCTCGCCCACCAGTCCCTTCGTTTCACAGATCCTCATTGACTTAAATAACCAACCATTTGGAGCCACTTGCAGGTCTTTTTCTTTCTCTCTCTTCCTACATTTTATATTCCTACTCTCGTGATTTAAAATCACCAATACTGAGTGAGCCTGTGAAATGCTAGACACCCCCTCTTCAGGCCCCTATCAGAGCAGGACCCTCGGCCTGTGCTCACTCTCTCTTTACCTGCTACCTCAGTCGTCAATTCCAGGTCTTGCAAGTAACAGCCCTTTATCTTTTTCTAAGTTTCCTGATGACTGTTCCTGAAGGGCATCTTGTGATCATCAGAACCGCAAGAATCAGTCCAGCACAGCAGGAATCTGTAGGCTGAGACCAGCACAAAACACACACGCAGGCACCTCTCTCCACTGCAAACAAACCAAGTGCCTCTCAAAACCTCTTGTGCAAGCGTTGTCTCCACTTCTCCTCCTTCTTCGCTCCTGGCTTGGGCAGTTTATTTCTCTGGGATTCCCTGAGATGACTGAGCACGCTTTGCTACACCAGTGCAAATATCAGCCTATTTATGGTAAAGAAGCTTTATGCCCCAATCTGTCACAGATGGATAATTTTGTAAATGTGATCAAAATATGCTGAGTTCTCCTTTTATTTACTGACTGAGTGAGACACTCTCAATTCCTATTAGTTGTGTGCAAACCTGGCTTCATGTCCCCCCGCCTCCACCCTGAACTCCTGACCCACCAATGGATGGCACGCACCAGATCCCAACCCCGCCATGTTAGTTCTCTCCTCAGAAGGAGCTCAGCCCTTGAAGCACCCGCTGATCCGACTCTTAGATGGTGGCACAATCTTAAATTGCTATACCGATACTAAGTTCTACTGTTTTGTATATTTTTGTTAGTAACTGGTAGCAAACTGTTTGTGGGCAGGTATTATCCCTTGACCACACACAGCTAGTGATGACCTTTTATCAACTATATTATCTGTGCAAATGATTTGTAGTTTAAAATTATTATGTTGTTCATTATCATAGCTAACTTTTCTTGTGGAATTATTGTGGCACTGCCAAGCACTTTTCTAGCACTTTAAACACATATTTCAGTCCATAAAACCCACTCTGTGAATGGGTACTGCTATTATTTTACAGGTGGGAAAACCTTGAAGTAGACCATGTAAATGATTTGCCCGCTTTTATACAGAGGATCTGAATCCTCAGATATCATCCACAAAAAGGGTGTTGGACATGATTTGGTGTCAGGGACCAAGGTCAAACCACAGTTCCTCCACCTCACAGGTACATGGCATGGATTGAATGATCTGACCTACCTGCAATTCAGTGTTTTCACAATGAAATCCAGCATGATAAATGCATTTCATTGGGCTATTAATAAGAAGAGATGGCCACATGATATAATTTGTACTCACATTTTATGAATGGTAAAACTCTCCTCAAGCATTAATCCTATATACACTTCCTTTTTTTTTTTAAGGCAATGTTGACATAGTCTCTAAACAATGCTGTTCAAAAGTTTCTTTCAAACATACCCTTAGGGATCAAAATGCATGGGAGAACCACTCCTTCACATGGAAGAAACTGAACACGGAGAATGGATTACTTTGTGAATGGGAGCTTGGAAATCCAGAAGGCAGAGAGGGAGCACCCAGAGAGGAATCATATCAGTTAGAGAAACAGAAGCAGTAGGTGACAGATGACAATGATAGATATAGATACAGAGAGAAGAAAGATATTAGAAGATGACTGGGAGAGTTGGAAATCCATAGTGCAGGCTGCCTGGAGATGCTTAGACAGGAGTTAATGCTATGGCCACAGGCAAAATTTCTTCCTCTTTAGGAAAACCTCAGCATTGGTCTCAAGTCCTGTCAACTGATTAGGTCGGACCCACCCACATTATTGTGATCATCTTCTTAAAATCAACAGATTGTAGATGTCAATCACATCTACAAAATACCTTCACAGGGGCCCCTCAGTTAGTGTTTGGTGAATGAGTGAGAACTAGAGCCTCGCCAAGTGGACACATAAAACTGACCATCATAGCAAGACATGGTATCAGCTATCAGACTACAAGATTATACACAGCCATGTGCTGTGTAATAAGACTACCAGTGGCCCCTGTACAAAGCCGACGTGC